ATTCGTGATCTATTAGATGTGCAATCAAAAAACAGCCTATGGTACTTGATTTTCCAGATTAAAAGCAGTCAATTCAATAGTCCACGTTCAATCTCTCTCAAAAGTACATGTACCACATATTCTTTCACTTTGATAATTATCCTTACTTCTTGAAGGAGGACGGTGATCAAAGTATCAATAATAAACATGGTTGAGCACCAAAGGTGTGCTTAAAATTACAAATCCTTTCAAGTGGTACAATGTGACTGGTATAACAAGGTGAGGTCAAATTCTGCTTCCAAGGTCTCTTGCTGGTCACCATACAATGAGGAACTTCGGTAGCCATTTCTATATTAGGCCACTCCAATAAGATTCATAGTTTCCCATTACAGAGGCGGGCCTGATGCGGGCGGGCGGGTTTGTTCATTTTCATTAAATTTATTCATTATCAGCTGTATAAATTGCTTGTATAATCAATGAAAAACCGCAATAATGAATAGCGATGCGGCCCCATGCGGGCGGGTAATGGGAAACAAGGAATCAAATTGGAGTGGCCTTAAACATAAGTTAAATATTATAAATAAGTTTGTCCTCCTCGACCTCCCCCTCAATCTCACTCTCAAAATCAATATTTTCAGTAGTATCAGGGCCCCCTACCTCCCCCTCAAGCAGGGGCGTAGCTGGACCTTGGGTGACGCATAGATACTTTAATCATAGATAATAGAGTAATAGAGTTCATTTACTCTAATATCTATGCTTTAATACACATGAATATGAAACTCCCCTATACCGGATGCTCTATGCTATCCAACCGGAAGTGATGTAATTATTGTGGCAGATCTGTTGGTGAACTGAACTGTCTTGAACTTTCAAAACTTCTCCAACAGCCATGGCAAACTCTTCTTGGCAAATATTGAGTTTTAAACCATGTCATATTGATTGCTATAAAACAATAGGAATAAAGATAGGATGACTATTACACTGAGCTCTGTGAGCTATGATACAACATACTAGTCACTAAGTATACTGACCATGATTTTTATGTTATAATTTTAAAGATTCAGAATTAATATAGCAAATAAGTAGCAAATAATTGTACAAGTTCTGAGCTTATAGGCTAGCAAAAATCATAGCCTCTTCTTCACCATGAATGTGTGATACATGAGTCCTTTGGGTACTGAGTGAATGACAGATTCTAAAATTAAAAATAATAAGAGATAAAAATATAATTGAATTATCATTGGTATATAGATAACAACCAGTCCTTTGGAAGTGAATGAAATAATACTTTTACATATATTTCCTGTTAGACCTATAGTTGGAACCCTCAAAAATGGTGGCATTTCGAACCTTTTTCTGCTGTTCGAAGTAGTCTATTAAAAAAATAAAGTGATTCGCGCACACTACTATACTAGTGTAACAAATTGATAAAAAGTTTCTCTAATAAGTTCTCTATGTTAAGTGGTAGAGTGGCCACAGTTTGGGCTCTATTTATGGCCAATAACACTCAAATTCTCCTTCATTGTTTATTGTACATTCAAAATAATAGGATTCGTGCACGCAGCTAGTCATAAACTAACCTCCTAATGTTGTGTTCCTTGAATATCTGTGAGCATTGGCTAGAAATTTTGCCCAAGGTGGTTAATTATAGAAAAATTGCCATTTTTTGGTGAATAGCTCAACACACAGGAGGCAATTAAGTAAAAGTCTCAATTCATATCATGCATTAACCTATTACTGAACAAAATCAGGCGATCATTTGTCCTACTAAACTCTAGACACTGAATAAAAAATATAAAAACTCACCTCACTCGCCATTTTCTTTGTTGTATAGCATGGAGACAACAGGAAGTGACGTTTCTCCATAGACTTTATATGGAGCTTCCGGTAATGTTTCACATCCATGTGTATTAAAGTATCTATGGGTGACGGTAGGGCAAAGAGATAAAATGGCGCGCGAAGCGCGCCGCAATTTTGGCCACACCCCTTTTACGTAACAAATTGGAGGCATTTTCCAGCTGAGCGAAATCAGAGTGAAATTAATCAAATTATCATTGTATATAGCTTTAAAAAAAGCTGTGGTTATCAGCCACCCCCTTTTCTTATTGTAAGAACAATGAATATAATCATTTGGGTTATAATTTCAATGAATATAATTATAAGGCCACTTTGATGGTAGGGCCCAGGCCCCCTCAGGCCCTACCTCAGCTACGCCCCTGCCCTCAAGGGGATGGAGGAATTATTAAACTTGAGGACTGATCAAAACTGGTCTCTGTTGATTCTATATTGGACTCAAACTCAGTGCTCAACCTAGGGATCAATATAGAATCAGTGTGAATCAAGTATAAATCAGTGTGTATCAGTATCAATCAGTATTATAGTATATTCATTAATGATTACTTAAATAGAAAACAGTTCTATTGCTCTACTTTATGTCATCTTAGCACTGTTGGACTAAAGTCCATTTGTGTTCACCTGAGCCCTTGTTTTCTTGCAATAACTTTTGACTTACAAGTTCTATTGTAAAATAAACATACCAGTGCATTCCTCTCCTTTTGCCGCATCTATTGTACTACTTAAGAAGCAGCTTTAGCTCTTTAGCTCCAAGTTGGTTGTATAACCCATGCAAAAAGTACAGCCATACTTTTCACAATATTATTGCATTGTGTTAATTATTGGGTGGGGTTTCTAATCACTTCCTGGGCTCAGGTGAATGCAAATGGACTTTAGTAAGCTATAAAATATCTTTATCATTAATTCTTTATTCTTCTCCTTTCATTCTACAGGTATTTGAGGATACCAGACCAATCATTGCCTCATATGCTGATGGATACAACGTGTGTATTATTGCATATGGACAGACTGGGGGGGGGGTTGGTAAAACCGGGCTCGGGGGGGGGCTCGGGCACGGGAAATGGCCGGGTAAAACCGGGCTGCCCCGGACTGGGGCTTCACCTATTTTCATGGAATAAGGACTGATATGGAGCTAGTAAGGACATAGAACAAATTACTGAGTAACTGTGCAATTAAATGATTATATTCTTTTTTTTTTTTTTTTTTTTTTTTTTTTTTTTTGGCGATCATAGCAAAAGCTAATAATAAATTAACAAATAATAGATCAATATTTTATTGTTAAAATTTAGGGAAGCCATGAATCCCCCTTGACTAATGCTGGGAACAAGGCCGCTCTACTCCCATCTGTCTTCTAAGTCCACTTTAACTCTCTCATTTTTATTTGTGATTTTATTTGCTGTCATTGTTATCTTAATTCTCATTTTCCTTGATTGTTGATTTATTTTTATTTATTTATATTTATTACTATTATTTTTACTGTTGATCATTATTCATTTCCACTTTTCTTTTTGTTTTCCAGGGGCCATAGCAGTTCAGTCTTGCTGGGATGTCTGTGCTATTATCAAACTTACTCAATTTGGTTTATTGTAATTAAAATTATATTACCTTTGAGATGCATTTCAATGT